GGGAAAGTAAAGGGAAGTAAGTGGGAAGGAAGGGAGGAGGAGTGAGAAAAAGAAAGAGGAGGGAAGGAAGAGAAATAGGGACGAGTTTGGAAGGGATGGAACAGGAAGTAAGAAGATGGGAGGGGGAGGAGAGGAAGTAAAGGGGAGGGGTAGTAAGGAGGGTAGTAAAGGGGAGGGGTAGATAATCTTAAAAGCCGTGGTAGAGACAAGACAAATGGTAGGGCTTAAGGAGCTCAAAAACCCGGCTGAGGATCCGTCCTAAGTTGAAATCGGCTTTAGGTTTTTTTTAAGCCCTCGTAGACGCCAAGACCATCTCAAGACCCGCCAGGAATAAGGTCTGGTTTAAAACACCATGTTGAGATGTTAAAACCAAGACCTAACCTAAACTAACCCACCAGGATTAAGGTCTGGTTTAATCCCTTGAAAGTGTTAGGACTAGTTAAACCCCCTTCAGGAGTAGAGGCCAAATAAAACACCATGTTAAAACCAAGACCTAAACGAACCTAAACCGTTTAATAAGTTAAAACCAAAACCGAATTAAACCCTTGGTAAGATATTAAACCTAAAATCGAATTAAACCTCCAACCATCACTAGGAGACAGACGTAGTTACACACAGCCTCCAACCATCGTTAGGAGACAGACGTAGTTACACACAGCCTCCAACCATCACTAGGAGACAGACGGTTACACACAGCCTCCAACCATCGTTGGAGACAGACGTAGTACACAGCCCCAACCATCACTAGAGACAGACGTAGTTACACAGCCTCAACCATCGTTAGAGACAGACGTAGTTACACAGCCTCCAACCATCACTAGGAGACAGACGTAGTTACACACAGCCTCCAACCATCATTAGGAGACAGACGTAGTTACACACAGCCTCCAACCATCACTAGGAGACAGACGTAGTTCAGCCTCCAACCATCACTAGGAGACAGACGTAGTTAACAGCCTCCAACCATCATTAGGAGACAGACGTAGTTACACACAGCCTCAACCATCACTAGGAGACAGACGTAGTTACAACCTCACATCATTAGGAGACAGACGTAGTTACACAGCCTCCAACCATCACTAGAGACAGACGTGTTACACACAGCCTCCAACCATCGTTAGGAGACAGACGTAGTTACACACAGCCTCCAACCATCACTAGGAGACAGACGTAGTTACACACAGCCTCCAACCATCGTTAGGAGACAGACGTAGTTACACACAGCCTCCAACCATCACTAGGAGACAGACGTAGTTACACAACCTCCAACCATCACTAGGAGACAGACGTAGTTACACACAGCCTCAACCATCGTTAGGAGACAGACGTAGTTACACACAGCCTCCAACCATCATAGGAGACAGACGTAGTTACACAGCCTCCATCATTAGAGACAGACGTTTGCAACCTCCAACCATCACTAGAGACAGACGGAGTTACACACAGCCTCCAACCATCGTTAGGGACAGACGTAGTTACACACAGCCTCCAACCATCATTAGGAGACAGACGTAGTTACACACAACCTCCAACCATCACTAGGAGACAGGCAGAGTTACACAACTCCAACCATCACTAGAGACAGACGTAGTTACAACCTCCAACCATCACAGGAGACAGACGTAGTTACACACAGCCTCAACCATCATTAGAGACAGACGTAGTTACACACAACCTCCAACCATCACTAGGAGACAGACGGAGTTACACACAACCTCCAACCATCACTAGGAGCAGACGTAGTTCAGCCTCAACCATCACTAGAGACAGACGTAGTTACACACAGCCTCCAACCATCACTAGGAGACAGACGTAGTTACACAACCTCAACCATCACTAGGAGACAGACGTAGTTACACACAGCCTCCAACCATCATTAGGAGACAGACGTAGTTACACACAGCCTCCAACCATCACTAGGAGACAGACGTAGTTACACAACCTCCAACCATTTAGGAGCAGACGTAGTTACACAACCTCAACATCATTAGGAGACAGACGTATTACACAGCCTCAACCATCATTAGAGACAGACGTAGTTATACAGCCTCCAACCATCACTAGGAGACAGACGTAGTTACACACAGCCTCCAACCATCGTTAGGAGACAGACGTAGTTACACAGCCTCCAACCATCATTAGGAGACAGACGTAGTTACACACAACCTCCCAACCATCATTAGAGACAGACGTGATTACATACAGCCTCAACCATCACTAGGAGACAGACGTAGTTACACACAGCCTCCAACCATGCGAGACAGACGTAGTTACACACAGCCTCAACCATCACTAGGAGACAGACGTAGTTACACAGCCTCCAACCATCACTAGAGACAGACGTAGTTACACACAGCCTCCAACCATCACTAGGAGACAGACGTAGTTACTCAGCTTCCAACCATCACTAGGGAAGACATGTTACAGCCTCCAACCATCACTAGAGACAGACGTAGTTACACTCAGCTTCCAACCATCACTAGAGACAGACGTAGTTACACACAGCCTCCAACCATCACTAGGGAGACAGACGTAGTTACACTCAGCTTCCAACCATCACTAGAGACAGACGTAGTTACACACAGCCTCCAACCATCACTAGGAGACAGACGTAGTTACACTCAGCTTCCAACCATCACTAGGAGACAGACGTAGTTACACACAGCCTCCAACCATCACTAGGAGACAGACGTAGTTACACACAGCCTCAACCATCACTAGGAGACAGACGTAGTTACACAGCCTCAACCATCACTAGGAGACAGACGTAGTTACACTCAGCTTCCAACCATCACTAGGAGACAGACGTAGTTACAGCTCAACCATCACTAGGAGACAGACGTAGTTACACACAGCCTCCAACCATCACTAGGAGACAGACGTAGTTACACAGCCTCCAACATCACTAGGAGACAGACGTAGTTACACAGCCTCCAACCATCACTAGGAGACAGACGTAGTTACCTCAGCCTCCAACCATCACTAGGACAGTAGTTAGCCTCCACAGGAGACAGACGTAGTTACACACAGCCTCAACCATCACTAGGAACAGACAGCCTCAACCATCACTAGGAGACAGACGTAGTTACACAGCCTCCAACCATCACTAGAGACAGACGTAGTTACACTCAGCTTCCAACCATCACTAGGAGACAGACGTAGTCACACACAGCCTCAACCATCACTAGGGAGACGTAGTTCACCTCAACCATCACTAGGAGACAGACTGGTTACACACGCCTCAACCATCACTAGGAGACAGACGTGATTACACACAGCCTCAACCATCACTAGAGACAGACGTAGTTACCTCGCTTCAAACCATCACTAGGAGACAGACGTAGTTCACACAGCTCACCATCACTAGGAGACAGACGTAGTTACACAGCCTCCAACCATCACTGAGACAGACGTAGTTACTCAGCCTCAACCATCACTAGGAGACAGACGTAGTTACACACAGCCTCCAACCATCACTAGGAGACAGACGTAGTTACACACAGCCTCCAACCATCACTAGGAGACAGACGTAGTTACACACAGCCTCAACCATCACTAGGAGACAGACGTAGTTACCTCAGCTTCCAACCATCACTAGGAGACAGACGTAGTTACACACAGCCTCCAACCACAACTAGGAGACAGACGTAGTTACACAGCCTCCAACCATCACTAGGAGACAGACGTAGTTACACACAGCCTCCAACCATCACTAGAGACAGAAGTAGTCACACAGCCTCCAACCATCATTAGGAGACAGACGTAGTTACACACAGCCTCCAACCATCACTAGGAGACAGACGTAGTTACACACAGCCTCCAACCATCACTAGGAGACAGACGTAGTTACACACAGCGTCTCCAGGCACCGGGAGAACTTTCCCACTTAGAGCTGTCACTCTCACACCACCACCACCACCACCCAGGTAGCTTAACCACACCTTCACATGATTATACGAATACACGTCATCACTTCTGACAAATGAGAAATTAAAAAGTAGCTTGTTCATAATGTTACTTGTTCATAATGTTACTTTGTTCATAATGTTACTTGTTCATAATGTTACTTGTTCATTTATGTTACTTTGTCGACTAAGATCCATAACTTCTGACAAGTGAACGAAAAAATCTTGTTCATAATGTTACTTTGTTCATAATGTTATTTGTTCATTATGTTACTTTGTCGACTAAGATCCGTAACTTCTACCACGAAATTTTTATGTTCATAATGTTCCTATTACTGTCAAGAACAATATTAATCTAATCGTTAATTATGACAAACGAAGGAAAATATAAGGAAGTCTTGTTCAATATATTACAATGTAGACTCTTATCTATGATCAATTGTGAGAAATGAACGAAAAATTAAGAGGATATAAGCAATTAACTGTATCAATATAACATATAAACCTACATATATACCAAAATTTAATACATACTTAGATATATACACCAAAATATACATACCCTAATACACACACCTAGATATACCCCAAATATACATAACTGGATATACACCTCCAAAATACACGTATACCAACGACAGGTATATAGGTGAGAGGGGAAGGAAAACTAATTAGGTGACAGTTTCAACTTTCACCCTTGTAATAACCTGTCAACACCCAATAGGAATAAGAGGTGGGTTAGGGTGGGGTGGGGTGGGGTCTAGGGTGGGGTGGGGTCTGGGGTGGGGTCTGGGGTGGGGTGGGGTTGGGGTGGGGTGGGGTGGGGTGGGGTGGGGTCTGGGTGCGGTGGGGGTGAGGTGGGGTTGGGTTAGGGTTGGGTTGGGTGGGTTTACCTGACTACGACACTTGAAGGAGGCGAAGGAAGATTTAGACGATGAGGAAGAGGGAGGAAGACGAGGCAGAGAAGGGGAAACAAAGAAGAGGACAAGAAGGGAAGGAGGAGGTAGACGAAGAGGAGGAGCAGGAGGAGGAAGAGAGGAGGGAGGGAGGGAGGGAGGAGGAGGGAGGAGGAGGAGGAGGGGGGCCATAATCTTCCCAGGCCACGACCCAGACCAACACACGGGACAGTCAGTAAGACACCCGGAGTCAACAGGAGGACGCTACTCACTGGTCGAGTTTCTTCACCGTTGACGACTTGGATCAGTGCCCTAACGAGGCTCCTTTAATACACGGGTAACAAGCGGAGGTAGGTCTCTCTCTCTCTCTCTCTTTCTCTGTAGAACACTTCCCTGTTTCTCCCCCTAGATGTTGAACCCTTCTTCCTTTTCTCCCAGGATGTTGAAACCCCTCCATTTCTCCTGAATGCTGAACCTCCCTCTCCCTGAATGTTGAACACCATCCCCCTACTCCCCTGGATGTTAAACCCCTTCCCCTCTTCCTGGATGTTAGCCCCCTTCCCCTCTTCCCTGGATGTTAAACCCCTTCTCCCTCTTCCCTGGATGTTAAAGCCCCTTCCCCTTCCCTGGATGTTAAACCTTCCCCTCTTCCCTGGATGTTAAACCCCCCTTCCCCCTCTTCCCTGGATGTTGAAACCCTCCCTCGAGTGGATAGTGCGTTCATCTCCTGCTCTAAGGGTCGTTGGGGGGTCACGTATAGGGCGCCCTCAGTCCACCCAGCTGTGAGTGGGTACCTGGCCTTGTGGTTAAGGAAATGAAGGCGGTCTTGTGTAGTTTCGGCCACGCTGCTTCCTCTTGCTACCCAGCCAGCCAGCCAGACAGACAGACAGACAGACAGATATACTACCATCCCGCCAGACAGCCAAAAAGCCCGACAGATATCTTGTTAGACAGCCAGCCAGAATGATAGACAAACATCCCGTCAGACAACCTAAAGCTAGACAGACAGACACAGACAGATAGACATCTCGTCAGACAGCCAAAAGTCAGACTGACAGATATCCCGTTAGACAGCCAGCCAGACAGATAGACAGACATCCTATCAGACAGTCACACAGGCATCTCCACAGACAGCCAAAAGTCCAACAAACTGACAGATATCTCGTTAGACAGCCAGTCAGACAGATAGACATCTTACCAGACAGACCCGACCAAACAGACAGACAGACAGACAGATGCAGACAGACTACACCTACTGCCACAAACTTACGCGTCATCACTACGAAGACAAGAATTACCAATGAAAAGAACTTGCTTCATCAGAGAGTCACAGAAGGAAGAAAGGAAGGAAGGACGTTGGGAAGGAAAGAAGGAGGGAAGGACGTAAGGAAGGAAGGAAGGAAGGAGAGCAGGAAGACAGACACACCAATTCACCAACCCTTCCTTCACTCGCACAGAGAAGGAACTAAAAATGCAATCAATGTAGCCAATAAAACGAATTCGACATTTTTGCATCTCTGAACTGTCACGGCGAAGGAATACTCTACGTGTCCTTGATATCCTTACGTACGTGTCCTTGATATTTATTCCTGTGGCGTTAAGATATCTATGGTACGTGTTCTTGATATCCTTACGTACGTGTCCTTGATATTTATTACTGTGACGTTGACATATCTCACCCCCTATGGTCCGTGTTCTTGATATTACTCTAGCGTGTCCTTGATAACCCTGTGGCGCTGACGTATCCCCCCCCCCCACTACGGTCCGTGTTCTTGATTCCTGAGTCGTTGAAGTATTTCCCTTGGTGTACGTGTCCTTGATATCCCTGTGGTGTTTAAGTTACCTCTGTCAGTTATGTTTGTCCTTGGTAAGCCGGAATTCCCCTTTGTGTTCGTGCTTAGAGAGAGAGAGAGAGAGTGGTAGGTGAGGGAATGTAGGTAAGGGATTGGTAGGTATGGGGACCTGACCTGACCTGAAACTAACCTAACCTAAATTAACCTTACACCCTTGACATCAATAACACGAAAAGCATATAAAGACTAAATTCTATATAAACTACCTATAAAAACACACTAAACATCTAAATTATTAAAAAAACAACAATCATCTTCCATATAGAAATCATCATAAAATCCAAGAAAAACGGAGCGATATCACCGTGAGAATCCGACTGAATCCGGGACCTTTTTGAAGAACGTAAATACTAGGTCAGGATTTCGCCAGCTAATCCTACTAGGTGTGTGTTGAAGCCCGCCAGAGTGACGTTGAACCTCCATTAATAACCACTGGGGGTTGGATCCTCTTAGCAGTAGTTCACGTGCCCCATAAGAACGAATCCGATCTCCTTGAAAACCAATTAAATCCCTTTAAAACCAATCAATTCTTTAAAAGCCAATCAAATCCCCTTAAAACGCCTCAGATCTCCTGAAACAGCCAATCAGATCCCTCACAATTCATCTCGAGATCCAATCCACCATCAGATCCATCTAAGCTGAGTTATAACTTCGCTGCCACAGAGCTCCTTGACCTAATTTGCTCTCTCTCTCTCTCTCTCTCTCTCTCTCTCTCTCTCTCTCTCTCTCTCTCTCTCAGGTCATAAGACGTAAGCTGGATTAACCCCATCTTTACCTTTGCTTCAGAATATGCCAAGTTTAGCCTCTCAGTGTAAGCAGTTTCAGGTAGGAGGCTGGGATAATAATAATAAGGAAGGAAGGAAGGAAGGAAGGAAGGAAGGAAGGATAGGACAGATAGAAGAACAGAAAGGCAGAGAGGATGACAGAGGGACAGACAGACGAACAGAAGGACATACAAACAAACAATCAGACGGAAGGAAGGAATGAAATCAGCACACCAACAGACTAAGGATAACGACTGATGGCTATAGACCCCCACACTCACCATTACACCCCAGTCCTAACAATATAATGAGGCAATTAACGTCACAATGTCGGAATATTAGTCATACCTGCGTGTGAGAGAGAGGCTAGTCCTCCACTTTTACCTATCTGTCTACCCCAATTCTCTCTATCCCTGTCTCTCTCTATCCCTTATTTCTCTATAAATAAAATAAAACAAAATATCCCTCAAGGGGGGAAGTCACCCTCAGTTAGTCATTAAAGGCGAACAAAGACAAAAAAAATAGCCAAATATAAACAAAGAAAAAATGAAACAAAAGTAAATAATAACAAAACTCATAAAAATAACAAAATACGTCATGTCATATACCCACTCGAGGGTGAGACGGTCGAGGGCGAGATGGTCGAGGGCGAGACGGTCGAGGTGAGAGCGGTCGAGGGTGAGACGGTCGAGGGTGAGACAGTCGAGGGTGAGACGGTCGAGGTAGATGGTCGAGGTGAGATGGTCGAGGGTGAGACGGTCGGGGTGAGACGGTCGAGGGGGAGACGGTCGAGGGTGAGACGGTCGAGGGTGAGACGGTCGAGGTGAACGGTCGAGGTGAACGGTCAGTGAGACGGTCGAGGTGAGTGGTCGAGGGTGAGACGGTCGAGGGGTGAGATGGTCGAGGTAGAGATGGTCGAGGTGAGATGGTCGAGGGTGAGACGGTCGAGGTGAGACGGTCGAGGTGAGACGGTCGAGGTGAGACGGTCGAGGGTGAGATGGTCGAGGTGAGACGGTCGAGGGTGAGATGGTCGAGGGTGAGATGGTCGGGGTGAGACGGTCGAGGTGAGACGGTCGAGGTGAGACGGTCGAGGAGGACGGTCAGTGAGATGGTCGAGGGTGAGACGGTCGAGGGGAGAGACGGTCGAGGTGGGGACAGTCGAGTGAGACGGTCGAGGGTGAGACGGTCGAGGTGAGACGGTCGAGGTGAAGATGGTCGAGGTGAGACGGTCGAGGGTGAGATGGTCGAGGGTGAGACGGTCGAGGTGAGATGGTGAATGAGGCGTCGAGGTGAGACGGTCGAGGGTGAGATGGTCGAGGTGGGATGGTCGAGGGTGAGACGGTCGAGGGTGAGATGGTCGAGGTGAGACGGTCGAGGTGGACAGTCGAGGGTGTGAGACGGTCGAGGTTGAGATGGTCGAGGGTAGGACGGTCGAGGGTGAGATGGTCGAGGGTGAGACGGTCGAGGGTGAGACGGTCGAGGGTGAGACGGTCGGGGGTGAGATGGTCGAGGGTGAGACGACCGAGGGTGAGATGGTCGAGGGTGAGATGGTCGAGGGTGAGACGGTCGAGGGTGGGGACGGTCGAGGTGAGACGGTCGAGGTGAGACGGTCAGGGTGAGACAGTCGAGGTGAGATGGTCGAGGTGAGATGGTCGAGGGTGAGATCGGGTGAGATGGTCGAGGTGAGATGGTCGAGGGTGAGACGGTCGAGGTGGGGCGGTCAGTGAGACGGTCGAGGTGAGATGGTCGAGGGTGAGACGGTCGAGGTGAGATGGTCGAGGGTGAGATGGTCGAGGGTGAGGACGGTCGAGGTGAGACGGTCGAGGTGAGACAGTCGAGGTGAGATGGTCGAGGTGAGACGGTCGAGACGAGTCGAGGTGAGATGGTCGAGTGAGATGGTCGAGGTGAGACGGTCGAGGTGAGACGGTCGAGGGTGAGAAGTGAGAGGTGGAGACGGTCGAGGTGAGAGACGGTCGAGGGTGAGATGGTCGAGGGTGAGACGGTCGAGGTGAGATGGTCGAGGGTGAGATGGTCGAGGTGGAGATGGTCGAGGTGAGACAGTCGAGGTGAAGACAGTCGAGGGTGAGATGGTCGAGGGTGAGACAGTCGAGGGTGAGATGGTCGAGGTGAGACGGTCGAGGTGAGACGGTCGAGGGTTAGAGACAGTCGAGGTGAGACGGTCGAGGTGAGATAGTCGAGGTTGAGACGGTCGAGGAATGAGATGGTCGAGGGTGAGACGGTCGAGGGTGAGACAGTCGAGGGTGAGACAGTCGAGGTGAGATGGTCGAGTGTGAGACGGTCGAGGTGAGACGGTCGAGGTGAGACAGTCGAGGTAAGACGGTCGAGGTGAGACGGTCGAGGGTGAGATGGTCGAGGTTGAGACGGTCGAGGGTGAGACGGTCGAGGTGAGACGGTCGAGGTAGAGACGGTCGAGAATTGAGACGGTCGAGGGTGAGACAGTCGAGGTGAGATGGTCGAGGTGAGACGGTCGAGGGTAGATGGTCGAGGTTGAGACGGTCGAGGTGAGACGTCAGGGTGAGACGGTCGAGGGTGAGACGGTCGAGGGTGAGGACAGTCGAGGGTGAGACGGTCGAGGGTGAGATGGTCGAGGTGAGACGGTCGAGGTGAGACGGTCGAGGTGAGACGGTCGAGGTGAGAGACGGTCGAGGTGTGAGACGGTCGAGGTGAGACGGTCGAGGGTGGGGAGACAGTCAGGGTGAGACAGTCGAGAGT